ACACTACATATAAAGACTAAGTATGTGCAAAGAGAGCAACAGAGAATATACAAAAGGACCTGGATTCGATTCCCAGCACCCACATGGTGGCTCCCAGCTGTCTGTATCTCAAGTCCCAAGGAATCTGACACCCTCTTCTGGCTTCTTTGGGCATCAGGCACTCACGGACATACACTTAAGCAAAACAGTCAAAACATTAAAAACAATTGAATAAAAATACAATGATGGAAACACGTGAGTGCTAGAAGGATCTAAGACACTTGGGGGTTGTGACCGTGCTGTCTGTCACCTCCGACTGACTTCTGTGTCTGTAGTCTATATCTGTGGTGCCTACTGGATGTGTTTTGCTCTTTGGAACCCCAATTTAGCTTCTTGACTATCTCTGTATATTGATGACTCTATCTTGGTGTGGCTTCAGCTAAGTATCTTCTTTTCTATGACAAACCAAAATGGTCCGGGAACTCAGACATTTTCCTATACTTTGCTACCAATGTTTTCGAGGAAATCTGACAGTACATACTTTAAGGTATTTGGGCTTCATGAGTCCTCAGTCCTACACAAATAACTAAGGGCAACTGAGGAAAGCTGGGAGCAGGAGAGGAGGTCCTCCCCAGGGAAGAGCACAATTGGTTGTTTTGTGCCAAATGGTCAGCCCTGAAAACATACATATGGGTAACATATAGGTTCAACAGGTTATATTTAGGCATATATATATGCAAATGCAGATATGCATGCAATAACAATTGTCAGAAAGAGAAGCCATGAATTTGAAGAAGAGATGTGGAGGGGTAAAAACGAGGGATTAGAAGGAGGAAAGGGGAAGGAGAAATATTGTAATCAAAATACATTTACAAAAATAAACAAAAAAGTATTTAGGTTTGTTGATAAATATCAGAGTTCTGGTAGCTTCCTGGAGGATAAAAGAGAAAGGGCATCCATGTTGGAAAGGTTAATCTGGTCAGTGTGTGTGTGTGTGAACGTATCAGTATGTGCACTTTATGTATGGGAATAAAATTCATTCAATAATATATATTTTGGAACTCTTCAATTAATAATTCAATAATTGTAGCTTCTACTAAGTAAAAGTTCATTATGCTATTTACAAGTTTGAAAACTGGAAATCACTAAAATGTCCAGTAAGAGCTGAAGGGTAAGGAAATGATGGCTCACCCACGGCAATATCACATTATGATAAATTGCTTACTGCTATTGGGAAATAGTGATTGATAAACAAAGTTCACTATAAAATAGAAAACAACAACAAACAAAGAGAAAACAGTACCACTGTTATCCCTTCGTGCTGTACTTGATGTCCTGGTGCCCAACAAAAGTGACCAGCCGACAATGGGAACCATTCAGGTTTCATGGTTGAAATAAGACCTTCAACTATGGTTCTCTTGAGTAAGGACTCACTTTGTGGTACAGACACTAAGTACCAGTCATTGACCTAAAGTAGTCTGGTAGATCCAATGCCGAACCTCAACTAGGAATGTGTGGACTCAGAGCTGCTCCATTTTTCTGAAGCTCCTCTGTATTTTTGGTCAACAGAAGCTAGAAAACTGGGGAGTAAGTGGTAATAATCAGTGTATAGACATAGTAGTGTAGATGTATATACATATGGCATGTGTGAATTAATATGTGTGCATGTATATTTATGATATGAATGCGTATGACCATCCCTTTTAAATATACATGCATAATGTGTATGTGTGTGTGTAGATATCCTGGTTCAGAATCGCAAATTTGGAACGTACTACATTAATTTAACTAAGTCAAATTGATTATCAAAATAAGGAGGTGATTGTTTTGAGTATTCCCAGGGTGAATGTGTACGAAACAGAGCGCCATCTGGCATTTTTCTACTCCAAAGGCTTCTGGGAAGAGTCTTCATTATTGGCTTCAAGAAGATAGAGAGAATTGGGCTGCAGCTCTGTTGGCAAAGTTTCCCGGTGCCGTAAAATAGTTTGCAACCTAGGGTAGCACTATATGCTTGATTAAACTCGCAATGAAAAGGATTTATTTTAAGCCGCTATAATAATTTCTTTTTTTAATCAGAAACTAACAAAGCAATTTTACAGTAGTCTCCATTTGCATGAAATACCTGTTCCTTCATCTAGATGGGTTGTCTATTGGTAAAATTTATTAAGAGTCTATTTATGCATACAATCTGCACATGTTTTGAAAGGAAGAAAATCGGGATGAATTCCATGAAGAAATTGTCCTTTGCTTTTCAATTGCCCAGTTCATTCTGAATTCAGATAAACTTTCTTTGGATGAGAAAGAAATTTAGATACCTGAAGAAAGGCCCCCACTGAGTCCCCCTACCCACTAGTTCTCACTCTAGCCCCTCTCCTTTTCCGAGATCCAAACAAGTACATCATTTCTGGGAAGGAGACTGCTACTCTTTCATGCCCTGTCACAGCCACTGCTGCTCTCTCTGCTTGGGGTTTCAAAGTCATTTTAACTTGACTACGTGTTTGCTGTGTTCCAAGGCCCATACCTCCCCCTCCCCAAGAGATAGTATGGAAGACATACATAGAAGTCAAGGCTTTTTTGTTTTTATTTGTTTGTTTGCTTGTTTGTTTTTCGAGATAGGGTTTCTCTGTAGCTTTGGAGCCTGTCCTGGAACTAGCTCTTGTAGACCAGGATGGCCTCAAACTCACAGAGATCCTCCTGTCTCTGCCTCCCAAGCGCTAGGATTAAAGGCGTGCACCACCACTGCCTAGCCGAATGCAAGTCTTTTAAACAGCTGGCTCCTCAAGTTCTTTTAGAAATTATGTTCAATTTTCACACATGACTCAGGAATACAGACGCTGCAGAAGGTAAGGCTTTACTTGCCCCCACCCCCATTAAGAGTTTCTATTGGTTTGTGGCTCTTTTTATAAAAGTCCTATACCATACGCTTTCTGTTTCACACGATGAGTAGGTGCGTTTCTTTCTCAAATGCAAAAGCTTCCTTGAGTCTACTTAAGGCAGCACGCTACAGTAACAAGCTTGTATTTGGCATCTTTCAGCCTCTCTAGCTGTGTGGTTGCTGAGGGGAGACACTCATTGCTAAACAAGGTGGCGGTGAACAGTCTTCCAGCCTGTATAAAAATCTCTTTTTCTCCAGGCTACTTTCACGGAAGCAAACTAAGCTGATTCTGAAGCACTCCTGAGAAATCAGAGCTGATTGCAGGAGTTACTCACATTAAACACGAGCTATTCAGAGTGGGAGAAGGAAGAGCTAAGTAAATCGGATTGAAAGACAGTCACTGCTACAGTATAAATATGGGTTTCCTTTCTGCCTCCCTGGAGCTCCTGGAGAATGACCCACACGCCAAGCTTGATTAAGACACCCACCTTTACAAGAGCGGCCATCTTGTGTCTATCTAGGACATGTGCCACAGATCTTTAAACCACGTCTGTAGTGTAGGAAGGCTAATAATACTTGACACAGCATACAACCTGGCCCCTGGGGCGCCCAAGTTCTTTACAAAAGCCTTCCTTTTTAACCTTCAGGAAGAATCTTTTCTTCCTTTGGAAGGTGAGAAAGGGCAAGGGCCTTTGGTTCCATTTCCTGGGTAAGGAAACATGTCTCAGAGCAGATTAGCAAGGCAGATCTGGAAAGGAACCAAGGACTTCACCCCCATTCCTTCTTCTCAGGACTCTGTGTGTGTGCGTGTGTGTGTGTGTGTGTGTGTGTGTGTGTGTGTGTGTGTGTGTGTACGCGCTCATAAAGAGGTCTGAGGTTATCTGTCGAGAGTCTTCCTTAAGCATTCTTTCCATCTTTTTTTCTTTTTTGAGACAGGATCTCTCACTGGACCTGGGACTGGCCAACAACCCCTGGGATTATGCAGTCTCTGCACCTTCAGGGCTGGGGTCACAAGCAAGTGCTGGTGCGCCTGACTTTGAGCTTGGGCTCAGTCCTCAAGCTTGCAGAGCAGACACCTTGCCCCATCTCCCCAGCCTGCCTGGAGAATTTCCTACTTGGGTTGAGTTGCAGGAGCAGGACCTTGTAGGCGCTTTCATAGTAAGAGCCCTCAACTCGAGCTCCCTCTTTGAATCACTTTTCTGTTACTTAGTAGCTGCAAAGTCACAGAGAATTTTTAACTCCTGTTCAGTTTCTTTATCTATAAAATAAGGTTACTGATAATCCCTCTGTCTCCTCTTCATGGCTGCTGTGATCTAAAAAGCCTATCTTGATATAAAACTGTCTTGAACAAAAAACGCAAACTGGGATCCTGACATAGTGTCATGTTTTCTTTAGCTGAACCTCCTTCTAGCTCTTAGGGGGCCGTTAGTTCTAGAATTCTCAGTTGTGATGAATAAGGCTGTGTTCTCTGTCTCTAACTGCATAATTTTATACACTCTGGTCACATCCCTTCCCAGCCTTCATCATTCTAGACTAAAGAGTACGAATTTGTTTAATCTATCTTCATAAGGCATTCTGCTCCCCCTCCCCCCGTCCCGACTCCGCAACCACCACCATCCTTTTGATTATAGAGTGGCTCTTCTCTGGATCATCTCCAGGTCCATTATGTCATTCTGGAAGCTGTAAGATCAGACCTGCATAAGTGTGTGTGTGTGTGTGTGTGTGTGTGTGCGCGCGCGTGCGTGCGTGTCTGCCTGTCTGTCTGTGTCTGTCTGTCTGTGTCCCTGTATGCGCTCTCCAGTTCTGAACCTCTGACTCTGCACCCTTCCCCAATTATAAACCTTGTAAAGGGTTTACTGCCCAAGCAAGACCCTCTCTTTAAACTGCAGAGGCCAGTTGGCCCCAGGCTGAAGCCTTCTTTTTTCTCTGCGCAGCTTTGGCCCCAAGGGGCGAAACCGTCTCCCTGTCTGGCTTGGGAGGCTGGGAGGTGGATAACTAGGATGGGGAGGCCGAAGAGGGGGGGGTCTTGCGCAAGCGCACGCTGCTGCAAGGACGCCAATGCTGCTGCCTCTTGGAGCAGAGGGAGGCAGAAGAGGAGGGAGGGAGAGGAGGGGAAGGGAGGGGGAGGCGGCACTTGGGCTGCAGCTCTCAACCAGAGGCTGTCAGTCTCTCTCAGCGCTCTGAAAGACCGAGAGAGGCGGCGGCAGAGTAAGATGCTCTGCGGAGCGCCCTGAGTCAGGGGCTCTAGAAGGAGCTTCGGGGACCGGGGCAACTGGACAGCTTTCACCATGCATCAGTCCCTGACTCAGCAACGGTCCAGCGACATGTCCCTGCCCGATTCCATGGGTAAGTCTAGCCGCTAGTCCTGTCCTCAGGGCAGCGATAGCAAAGGGATAAGTGCGTTGTTCTCCGGACAGCTGGCTTCTGGCTGCCCCAGAGCCAGAGAGAGGGCAGCTGGGCTGGGGGTCCTCAAACTCGAGTGTCTGGGAGGTGGACAGGAGCCCCAAGGGAGCGGCCCAGCTGTGATAAGTGTGATGCGCTGAGACTGGGGCGCCAAGCTAGGGTCGGAGTAGCCCTACCTAGCCCGGAGTGCGAGTGTGTGCGTGTTTGTGTGCGTGTGTACAGACTTGCAGCCAGTGGTAAATTCCAGCTGTTTGCGCATCAAAACACTTCCTTCAACCTGCGCCTTCGCTTTCGATTCAACTCTCCTTCTTTGCAAAGTCCTCATCACTTCTGAGATCACGACTAATGAAAATTAGACTAAGCAGGGTCTTCACCATCCCCTCAACTCTCTAGGTGCTATTCTGAAATTCGGAACTGCAATGGTGGGGGGGGGCTAATTTACAATTCGCAGACGGGGGTGGGGGCTGCAACCCCGGGGAATGGGGATGGGGGAAGAAAAAGAGGGATGCTGGCGGGACGGGAATTCCTAAGGAATCACTGAAGACAGCCTAGCCCTGACATACGCAACAGAAAGATCAACAGTCCTTGAATATGCTTATTCTTCTGCTCCAGATACACAGAATGTGTGTGAGTGTGTGAGTGTGAGTGTGTATGCGGGGGGGGGGGTTAAAGAACACAAGAAAAGAAGATCCAGCGAGAGCCCGCGCATCTTCTGAAGTCGCGCTTTTCCTCTTCAGAGGAATGAAGGGGGAGGGGTACCTTTCAACCTTTTTTAAAAACTAGGGGATTGCTACCGTCTTGCATCAACTTGGTGACTCTTTGAGGGAGCTATTCGGTAGCTACAAACGAATTAAAAAACAAAAACAAAAACAGTTTCCTTTAGCTGTTAGGCACCTTCCCAAGCCCTGTGATTTCGCCGGGAGGAGAAATTAATTCAGAGCCTGAGAAAGCGGGAGGGGATTGTTGAGCCATGATTCCACCTAATCTTAAAATTTGTCTTTGATACACGTTAGCAAAATTCATTTCACCTTTTTTTTTTTATCACACTTCGCAGTCTGCAAAACTCCTCTGTCCCGAATTTCTGCCGTTCAGTCTTCTCCCATGAATTTGCTGGAACATCCACAGGGGAGGGGCCGGGAGAAGATTGAGCCCAGTGTGAGCTCTCTGCTGCCTGCAAAGGACTCAGTCCTTTGAACAAATTTCCTTCAAACAAATTTCGTTCAAGGAAGGGGCCTCTGAAAGTAGTATCACCTGGATGGTGAAAATATTCTTATCTCCTGTGTTTTGGCATGTTTACTATGCGACTTGTGCTTTTCATTTTTAAGGTCGTAGTTATTTGGAACTGGGTACAAAATGAGACCAAGGACTGGGGTCCAAATCCAGAGCCCAGTAGTACCAGAGTCTCCAGTCCCCCCGCCCCCCACCCCACCCCACGCATACACAGACACACAGAACACCAAACGCACTCCTTGCCTTGACCAGCTGTGGCGCTAACATAGCCCAGGCTCGCAGACATCAAGCCACAGCGCTAAAGGGAGCTGGACGCAAGAGGGCGAGGGTTCTGCAGCACCCTTTCTAACTGCGTGCAACAACCACCTGCAAACCAGTCCTCCCCACCTAGAACCGTGTGGCTGCGGGGACTGAGGCCCAGGGTTCAAAGGCTTGCTACTTGACACTGCTCTGTGGGTTTCAGAACAAGATGAAGAGAATTCTCTCATTTATTCCCGGGGGGCCCCCAGTCAGTCTTGTATTTCTATAAAGATCTGCGCAACAAGAAGCTAAGTGGGTTTGCCCAGCTCAGGTTCGCCACTGCGGGGAAAGGAATCATAGATCTCACATAGATAAGGTACAATCGCCGTGAATCGCGTTTTGGTAATAATCCACAGGCCGAAGTCACTAGAAAATTCTTGAGTAGAGTGATAACTCTAGGTTCCCACAGTTTGGACAGCGGAGTCTCCTTGGAGTTCCCTGGCGCTGATCCCACAGCCCAGGCCTGAATCAGCATCTAGGATACTCCCACTTAACCAAGCTCTGGCAAAGCCACCTTCTTCTGCCAACGGAAGGAGACGTGGTGGGTTTGTGTTTCTGCCTCAAAGGGCAGCATTTCTGAGAAGATTCCTTTTACAGGGAAGACACAGCTGCAATAAACAAACAAATAGACAAATAAATAAATAAATAAAATGTAACAACACAGCACACTACACACGACAGAACACACACACACACACACACACACACACACACCTGCACCAAGGTGCCTGCACTACTTTTGCTGCTTGCCTCGGGATCAGCCGTTAGTCCAAGGCTGGGAAGGAGGCAGGCACTTGGGAATTATGAAGAGAGTAATTTAGCTGCTGCGCCCCTCCATCTTCTCCCAGTAAACCCCTCCTCCACTTTGGCAACAGCGCCCTCAGGCGCTAATGCACCAATACTACACCAGGGCATTCTCTCCACCCCCAATAACACATTCGTAATTTACCGAGCCATCTTTGATTTCTCCATGTCTTGAATAATTTACTAAAGAGGCGAGGGTAGTAGATCTCAGCACCTTTAGGTACATGTTTGGGAGACTGGCCTTAAGGTTCATGTGTGGGCAGCCACCTGTTTCCAGGGATGCTCAAGTCGGGGACTTCCTGAGATCCACTCTGCGGCAAAAGCTGACTCAGGTAAGCAACTGCTAATCCACCCGAACATTCCAGTCTGAAAAGCACCCTGTCACCAGCACCTCAGTGCACAGAGCAGGATACGAAGCATCTCTGCTACATTTCAATAAAGATCACATGACCTCTTTTAGGAGGGGGCGATCAACCAATACGTACAAGGTAAAGCACAAGTGTAAGAGGCAGTATCCTATAAGGCAGTATCCTATTTTAGAGTAACTCACAGCTTGGCTCCTGTCAGATACACAATCCTGGAACTGGTGGCCATCATACAGAGTTGTAGAGGAAACCTGCTGTCACAATTTATATACTCACTAAGTTCTTTAGGGCATTAGAAACTGAGTTAATGGGTGATCAAAGTGGGGGGCTTGATTAAGATAATTTTTTTGGTGGAAGGAGCTTTAAGCGTGCTTCAAATGAAGAGAGGATTCAGATACAAATACAGATCAGGGGGAGGGGCCTTGATTAGAGGGACCAGAGGAGAAAGAATCTGATGCTGTCTGGAAGGGGGAGGCCAGCAAATGAGTGGGTGCCTCTAGAGCTACATCCTGGTCCTCAGGTATCTGGGGTGAAGGTGGGGCACTGCAGAGAGGAAGGGCTGCAGTAGCTCTGCTGGGGGGGGGAGCAGGAAGTGCCAATAAGGAGATTTTGGCCTCTCACTGCTAATTGGTTGCAATAGTTTTTGAAACAGAACTGCCTATACTAAGTACCAAGTAAACAGGGTGGTGAGGCTCTGTGGTTTTGACACTAGTTAGCCATAAAGCTTTCAATTCTGGGGAGCCCACAAAGTGTACCCTATTTCAAAAAGTGAATTTTATGAGCATGACCAAATTGATTTGCACAACCCCTCCCCAGATGTTTTCTCTAGGAGGAAAACAATTGTGGGATGTCATTACTTGTTTATTTAGTAACTGCTGGCTACTTATTTATTGTGTATCTGACACAGCAAAAGGCATTCTTTACAGCCTTTGAGGCTATTTTAAGTAGCTCATGATCTGAGCTTTTTATATGCTAATTTTTTATTTTTTTAGAGACAGGGTTTCTCTGTGTAACAGCCCTGGCTGTCCTGGAACTCCCTCTATAGAACGGGCTGGACTGGCCTTGAGCTCACAGAGACTGGCCTGCCTCTGCCTCCCAAGTGCTGGGATTAAAGGCGTGCGCCCCCACCACCCGGCTTTATAGGTTAATTTAGTAAACAAAACCTAAATAAGATGGTCCTATATTTCCAGAAACATCTAAGGCCAGCCCCAAATTGTACCTTAGGAAAAACAGGGTCCTCCCGCCTTCTAAAATACAACACAGGCAAGCCAATGGCATAAGTACATACAATTCCTGCCTTTTAGGGTCTCTGGCCACTCTTTCCGAGTACCTTAAGGCTTGTCTTGCTAAAAGTAGAAATGGACTTTATTAAGTCAAATTGAAACCACAGGTAAATGGGGGGGGGGTTCTTCATTTCAAAAGAATTTACCCAGAAATTCTTAAAAATAGTCACTTCTCCAAGTGCAATTAAAATCATTTGATTTTATGTAGTTAAGGTCTTGAGAATGTTAAATAAAAACTGACTGACAGACTAGAGACTAGGCAGTCAATCTAGTGCCCTAGGAGTTGTTTGAGCAGTGTGATCCCAAACCAATCTTAGTCGAACCCCTGTAGGGTGGTAGGATCTTTGGGTTTTTCAACAGATGGAATTTCATTTCAGATTCTAAAGCAAAAGGAAAAAAAAAAGATTTCCAAATGACACCATGTGGTTTGCTGAGTCACTTTTCTGACCTGGCTCCTAGCCTTTAAGAGTTGGAGTGATATTTGCAAAGAAGACTCCAGGGCTGTGGATGAGCTTAAAGGTCGTTTGGTAGGAACGAGCCGGTCAGCGAGACAACAAATTAGACCACACCAGCCACACTTGCTCTTCCGATTTAGTCTCTAAGGTTACACAGTCCCTGTGTAAGATGCTCTCTGCGTCTTCCAGGGCAGAGAAAGGCTCGAGTTCGTATGTGCATGACAATCACGAAAGCAAGAAAGGAATGGGAGGTTGTATTAGTAAATTCATGTTAGAGCCCCACAGTGGAAGCCTGGGAGACTCACCAAGTATCTATCATGAAATAAAATTAGGAACCCGGGTTTACAGACTCCCTTGGGTGCTCTGAAGTCAACAAGAAGGATAAGGAACCTGCAGGTAGATGAAAGAAATAAATCCTGTCCACTCCCCCCCCCCTACTGTTTCCTTCCCTGAACCAGGCAGTCCACACGGCCAGCCTTTGTTCATTAGTTTACCAACAGCATTCAGGTTGTCCTTTGCATCCCTGATGGCTACGGCAGACAAAGGATCCCTGCTGTCACAGGTGTCTAGGGGCTTTTCGGTTTTTCTGCTTGGGGGCTGGCTTTCCACTTCACTGCAGAGCGCCCTCCTTTACAACCCCCGTTGCCTCCGAGACTGGAGCTTCACAGTAGGTTAGGGGCCTGTACCAGCTCAAACCGCGCCTCCATTTTGATGTAAAAAGGTCTTAGAATAATATTGTCTTAGCTGGGTACCTGATGAGTCACGTCCCTTAGTTTCAAGGATGATGTCAGGGGAGACCTTCAGCCCCTCCCGCCTCCCTCCGAGCCTTCGGTGGAGAGCACACTGGGTAAGACCCAGGGTGGCATTTTTACGTTACTCTTCTATATGGAAAGGAAGCTTCAGGAGGCTGCTGGAACAGCCCTAGTTCCTGTTCACTCTTAGCTCTCACTACCAACAAGCCTCCTGGGTCTCTCTCAAAGGGTTTTCACCTCCCTTCCCTTCCTCTTTTTCTTCCCTCTCCTCCCAGCAGTGCAGTCTGGGCAGTTTCTCTGCCCCATAATTTGCAGAGGCTGCAGAGAGGCCTCTCAGAATGCCGGGTCTTATGAACCGACAGAAACCAAAGGTTCTCATCAGGGGCACTCAGGAAATTTAAAGACCGATCATACAACCCCACTGCTTCTTAGAGCCCCATCTTCCTTAGGGCTTCAAGAGAGCTGGATCCTAATAGTGTTGCCAATTTGGTTATTTTTTTTTCCCTGAGAGCTCCTAGGTGGTTAATTCTCCCGCGGTATTTCCTATTGAGGAGGCCTTCCTTGTGCTAGAGAAATGCCTGCATGGTATAAGGCAGGGTTTGGTTCCTAGCATACACAGTGCTTGGTTCCTAAAAACATTTTGAATTGAAAAGTGAGCCTAGATACCATTTCTCTATCTGACTTAATAAGCTTGGTTTTGAAAAAAAAAAATATTGGTTGGTGCTATCAATGTGTGATAAGCCCTGAGCAGGAAGGAGCATGGGCTTCAGGCCATTTGTATTTATGTCAGCCTTGCATAAGCGTAAGTGTATATAAGTTATAATCCTTCTTAGCTACCTCCCCTGATACAAATCTTTGTGGGCTAATAGCCTTCAAACATTTACTTTATTAAGCACATTTATTATGTGACAAATCTGGCCAACACACCATTTTTAAGTTTATGCATGAGGCAGCAAATGTCAGAAATAAATGAAAAATAAAATGCCAGTACCTGGCTCAGTTCTGATATTTACCCTAAAAATTAAATTTCATATCTCTAGCTTCTGAGAAAAAAATTGTTCTTCGTTACCTGATGCCTTTAAAATAGTTTCCTTTAAAACCCTCATACAAACACTTGTCGTTCATCATATGCCTTTATAATCTGCCCTAAAAAACACTCCACTAAGTGGCTACGACACATCTTTTATAGAATGTCAAAAACACAAAATTGTTTTGCTGTTATATAACTGCTGAGTTTTCTCCTCTTGTTTGTTTTCAAAGAAGCACAATGTTTTTTATGAGGAAAGTGGCGCCCGGCGACTGCAAAACGGAAGGTTCCCTTCTTTCAATGCAGTTCACTCCCTAGAGACACCCCAGTTAGCAACAGGGGAAGGAAAGAAGAAGCTTACTAGTCCATTTTCTCTGCTTTTCTCAGATAAACTGAGCAATTTCAATGTCTCTCGGTTCTTACAGGGGCCTTCAATAGGAGGAAGCGGAACTCCATCTATGTTACTGTGACTCTGCTTATTGTGTCCATGTTAATTCTCACGGTGGGCCTCGCTGCAACGACCAGGACCCAGAATGTGACTGTAGGAGGTTACTACCCAGGAGTTATTGTAAGTACAGAGAGCAGAGGTCAGTCTCTGTCGTTTGCTGGCTACAGAATTAAAGACTCTCCTGGGCTGGTTTTCAATTGCCTTTGAGTTTTTAGCATTTGCTCTGATTCCTTCCCTCTGTTTCTTTGTAACTATATAGAGAGGTGACTCTCCTTAGGAAAAACACAGGACTGAAAGAGACTTGGAAGAGTCCCAGTGTCTTCCTTAACTAAGATTGAGATCCTAAACATGTCATTTTATTGTCTAGGGCGTTGGTTTTCTGATTGAAGACATGGTCCTTTTTAGCAGCATCCATTTTAGCTAAGTGCTCGCCTTTGAGTTGTTTTCCTGTGTGTGATAGAGGCCACCTGATCTTTTCTTGAGTCTGAGAACACCAACATCTCCACTTTTCCTGACCAAGAGCCCTCATTCACTTGCAAAGTGGTCCTACCAGGAAAGGGTGTGGAAGACATATTTTTAATATGGGCATATTTATTCATTTGTAAATCACATACACACTCACAAAATGTATGTAAAATGGAAATTCAAACTTTAGATGAAAACGAAACTCCAATTTTAGTATCGTTTTATACAAACACTAAAATGTCACAGGATGTTATGTACGTTGTGTGAAGTTCAAAGAGAATACCTACAAGCCCATATTTCAAGTGGCCCATGAGCTATTTGTGAATATTTTTGGCTGGATTCTTATCAGGCATGTTTAAGTTGTCATCAGAGCCACTGGTCTTTAAAAAATTCTTTAAAATATGGCTCTTACAATGTGTCTGATTTTAAAACGTGTACAGGAGGTAGAATAGCAATTCTGCCATCTTTCACTGGTCATTTGTTATTAGGATCAACTTCAATTTGTAATTCCCCAATAGGATTTCCAAATCTCTCGTCCATTTTGTTAGTCCCCACTTGGTTAAAAGTTGCTAATCTAATCTTATCATACATAAAATGGCCTACCATTAACAATTCATTACTTGGAATTTGCCCTCTTTGCAAAGGATGGCACCCGTGATCTGGCCTTCCTAACGACAGAGAAAAGCCAGTGACAGTCCATTTATGGAAAATTGTCATAACGTCTGTTTTCTTACTTCCGATAAACAGTAAATAAGAATCAAAGTTCTTAGTCCAGTGGATTGTTTACCCTCCCCTGCAGTGTGTGCAATCTATTTTCTCAATGGTGGAATTTGCTACATAAAAATAATCTCATTTACTAGCTTGGTAACACAAAGAGACTCTGTCAAAACAAGCAAAAACCCCATCTATGAATAATACTATTGAACCCCAAATCTTCAGTCTAGAGATCGAATCTTATTTTATTTTATTTTTAGATTTATTTATTCATTATGTATATATACAATGGTCTGCCTGCATGTGTCCCTGCAGACAGAAGAGGGCACCAGATCTTATTACCGGTGGTTGTGAGCCACCACATGGTTGCTAGGAATTGAACTCAAGACCTCTGGAAGAACAGTCAATGCTCTTAACCCCTGAGCCGACTCTCCAGACCCCTGAATCTTATTTTAATATCAATGAAATGATTCCTGAATTGTAATTGCTAGAGAGTAGGAAGATGTTAAAAATGGTTCTTTTTTTTTTAAACAAAAATTTAAACAGCAAAGAAATCAGACAGATTTTAGGTCTCAGTCTGTATTTCTCACTCTCTCACTCAGAAGAGAAGAGGTTAAGGATGACGCCTTTAACAAGCCATCACTGTGAGTGACCAGCTTGGAGCCTGTTGCCTAGGTCACCAATTCCCTTCCAGACTCTCACTCCTCAAGAGCCTTTTGAAAAACTGGGCTTGACGTTGGGTCTGACGTAAGCTGAACCTCCTTCAAGCCTAAGGCTGCTAATGGAAGTTCTGCAGTTTGGGGGGGGGGAAGGTAGGGCTCTCCCAGCTTAGGGCAGGTGTCTCACAGACCCCGGTTGGTACCCAGTGCCCTTTGTTAAACATGTGATGCGAGAACTCACCCTGTCCACTTCCTGTGGTGAGGCAAGAAATTCAGCTGTCAGCAGAATTGGGTTTTATTTTTAAAAGCAAGCAAAGGGGAGGGGAAGAAAGAGAGAGCATTTTGGTGGCTTGGAAAGGAATTTACAGGGTCTTTGTGACTTTGTGTGCTTCAGGTTGCTGCATCAGTGAAATCTCTCCAACCGAAGAGCAAATGCTCAAGCCAGGATCCAGAGTAGCTGCGGGCAAAGGGAGGGTACTTTTCATGTTACTGCAAACCTTCTCTGTAGAATATCTGACTGTGGGAGGCTAGGTTGGAATACATTAACAAAGGAATAAGGACTCGTGATTGCTGTTATTCAAGTACTTGATGTTCAGCTAGCACTGGTAATTGAAGCAGCGGGGGCATTTCCCCTTCTCCCCTCCTCCCCAAGCCATGTGTGTATGGGTTTCACTAAAAGTAAACTTAATCAGAGATAATGTTGCATCCCTGTCCCCCCCCCCCACGCTGGTTTAACTTTACAAATTTGCTCTCTGAATGCTTGCGGATCATTTCTTTAAAATGGGTTTTAATTATACAGAGTGAAGCAGAAATGATAGCAGATAGAACAGTCAAAAAATCCATTTACGTTTATAGGTCAGACAGTGTTATAGCAAATACAATTAGGACTCCTACCTCTGCAGCAGTAAATGCCTGAGAACCCAGATTTGCCCCGGAACGAAGGGCTTCACTAATTGAATAGTTTGGGTTATTAGGAAGAAACGGTGACTTCCCCACCCAGGTATGAGCATGAACCTTGTGCTGAGTCTGTGAAAAATGCAGATCTCTCCTCCATATCCCCAGAGACTTTGATTCTGGTGGACTCTATGAATGTGATTTCTTTTCATAAGCTAATCTTTGACCAAAAAAGTAATACAAACTAAATATACATTTTACTAGTCACCCCAGGGAAATGTAATTTAGGTGGACCCAGAGGCCAGATGGAGAGATAAAATACACTTAACAGTAAAACCAGAGAGAGTACAAACCAGACAGAGTATTTGGAGATTCTGCACTGTCAAATTGGTCATTTTGAATATAAATTATAGTAGTATGGATCAGTGAAAACATTTCAAGTTATCCTGAGCTCAACTATTTTGTTCTCAAGTCCAACTAAATGTGTTAGCAATGCATGAGCATTTGAATGTTCAAAACATAAATTACGGATAAAATAACTGATTACAAGAAAATGGACACACATTTCACTTAAATACTAAGACCTTTGGCATTTCAAATGCAGTGAGGTGTTTAATACGCAGTGAGGCCATATTATAATAGCATGCTAGCTAGTCTACCTGAGTTATAATGTAATGTTGTCCTTCTAAGGTACACAGGCACACATGCCTCTTTAAGGATGAGCTAACCTGTACAGGCTGAAATGTCAGGTTTTGAACCATTTGGACTGATAAAGACAAAGTGGCTTATTATTTTTTTTATTATCCTCCAATGTTTGAGGCACCTTCCATTCTTTTTTATTTTGAAAGCCTAAAAACAATCCACGAGCTTTGGTTATTGAATCAAGCTGAAAAAGGCTGGGGCATGGAGGAAGGTTGCTCCATTCATTCCTCTAAATCTTTTCTTGCCAGAAGGAAGTCTGCAAATGTGTTTCCCAAGCAACCCACAAGATGGAGTTGGCCCCTTGATCAGCAAGGAAAACCTTTCTGGCGTTCTAGTCTCAGGGTTATTGTCCTGTAGGGCCCCGTGTTTTCTTTCAGCACAGAAACATGGGAGCTTCAATCCATTTCCTGGAGAGGGCTAGTTGATTGAAAACCGTATTGAGTCACAGTGGGATATCAGTAGACAGGGACAATAGGAACATTCAATAGTGTAGAAGCCTTCTCCGAGCCGCATGACTTTCTTTACCTGCACACATAAGGACTCTGTAAAGAAATGTAAGGACATTGATGTCCAATGGTATTTTGAGTACTTAGGAAACAATCAGGAGCCCTGGAGAGTTGGGTTTTGTGATTGCTGTAAATTAAACAGACATTGTTCTAAAACAATTTCTAAACTTTCTGAGTGCATTTTAAGGATATAATTCAAATCCTGATGTGTTGAACAAACTTGTTCAATGCCACAAGTGTCTAACTTCCATTGTCTCCTTGTTGGCCTGGTGGCACGCCACGCAGAGCTCTCTGAAGACGCCCCCAGTCTGGCCTCCTGCTGCTTCTGCTTTTCACAGCATTGCCTGCTTATAATTTGAGCTTTTCTGCCTCCAAACTGCAACTTACATAGTTTTCCGAATGTTCTCTCTATTGTCTCCAGTAAATTCTGTCTATTATTCTACATAACAGGAACATTCTTAAGCTACTGAGGTTTACAGTGCTACCTATTATCTTTGAACTCTCTTCTATTGAAGCCTCTCATTCCTGCTTCCCAGAAAAGACTCTTATCTTATTTTGTGTTCTCTATTGGACAATATCCTCATTTATCTTTGTTTATACAGGTCCACAATTTCTTGAGCAAGGTATACTTCAGGATTTAGACTTTAATTTTGGAGAAAATTATAGTGATATACCTTTTAGCATTCCAGTAGGACTTTGGAAAGCAATATAATCAAGTTCTTTCATAATTCTGTCAGAAAATATGAATTTTAATATAAAGTAGGGTAAAGATTATATTTTAAAAAACTCATCAGTTCAAGATCAAGCTTTACCACCGAATTGGGCATCAGAATGTTCATTTAGTTTCCAGAGATTTTTGAATTTCTGGGTTATAGAAAGGAATTATGGACTGTTTTAGCTAATAGTAGCATTAATTCCTTGAGCCTATCTCACTGTTCTTGGCATCACATCCCACCTCAACATCCAACTCCAAACCATAGATCAAACACAAGATATGCCACAGAGTATATGCCCAATTAATATTTATTTGAGCCTCTGTCTTGGGTGTCTGGGGCAGTGGATGCGAAAAGGAACAGGTAATAAGGTCCAGTTGCCAAAGAGTCCATCAGCTAGATGTGATGGCCCATTCCTGCAATCCCAGCATCTGGGAGCCTGAGGCAAAAGGAATGACAAGTTCAAG